AGAGAATAACAATTCACCTTGAAGATTGGAAATTAATTTCCAAATGACCCCATACAAGAAGTTTAGTCTCTAGATTTGTCCCTTTGAAAAATAGTAGGGGCTTAGAAGAATTACACCCTCTGCTTCTCTACAAAAGGCCACAAAACAACAGCCAGCTCCCGTGACAGAAGCCAGAACTCCGTTCTGAAAGGGATTTTTAACAGGCTGGTTCACAGACCTCATGACGGACTTCTCCAAAGGAGTGGTGGGAGTTACGGCATTCTGCCTCCTCATGGTTAACATTTGTGGCTAGATGCCTTTCCCCAAGTCTTTACGATTAGCTACATATACTTTAGAAACAGGTTATTCTGGGATGCAGGAGTGATTTCTTTCAAAGCAACACGCTCTTCTCACTTTGCTTTAGTCAACAGAGGTTGTAACTGTAGAAGGATAAAGGAAACTACTTTGATGTTATTTTTTATTCTTTGATGAAAAACCTTGAGGCGACTGGAGTGCTGTACATAACAGTTTTCCACATTTGGCATCTAACCATGGACTCTCTGTCTCTGGTATAACTTTTCCAGGAATACCACTTTCTAGAGCTGAACTAGCCACCCTGGGTCTCCTTTATACCCAGTGAAGAAAGAGGAGGCGTTTCTCAGGTGTGATCCATACCAGCCTAGTACAGATGAGGTTAGACGAGCCACGTCCTGAACTGTCCAGTTCTCTCCACTACACGGTCGAGCACAGGCTGATACATTCACATACAAATGCTTGAACTTTGAGACGTCAAAGTCAGCGGAGATGAAGTGCATTCCTTTGCAGGGAGTTTTCTCCACTAGCAACATTTGGTGTGGAATGCCTGCTTTGCTTTACAGAGGCAGTAAGGGAACAGCAGAGCCCCTGGTCACACAGTACCTATATACTCAAGTACCTATACAACAAGCTACGGGGTACGGAACAAGCTGAACGTAAGCCAGCAATGAGCCCTTGCAGCAAAGGTGGCCAACAGCTCCCTGGGCTGCATTAGGCAGAGCATCACCAGCAGGCCGAGGGAGATGACCCGTCTCCTCTGCTCAGCCCTGCTGAGACACATCTGGAGTGCTGGGTCCAGTGCTGGCTCCCCAGTACGAGAGAGACACGGCCTGAGTGAGACTGGAGTGGAGTCTGTCTGGAGCGAGTCTGACAAAGGGCTATAAAGACAATTACAGGGACTGGAGCATCCATCATACAAGGCGAGGCTGAGGGAGCTGGGACCGCTCAGCCTGGAGAAGAGAAGGTTCGAGGCAGGGGACTTCATCAATTTGTACAAACATCTGATACAGGCAGTAAAGAAGATGGACAAGACTCCTCCCTGTGGTGCCCAGGGACAGGACAAGAGGCAGCGAGCACAAATCGAAATACAAGAAATTCCAGGTAAACATAATACCTTCCTTTTTACCGTCAGGGTGTTCAAATGGTGGAACAGGTTGCCCAGAGACATAGTGGAGTCTCCATCCACAGAATTACTCAAAACCCAAGTGTACATAGCCCCAAGCAACCTGCTGTAGCTGACCCTAGCTGCTCTGAGAAGGGTGTTGGACTAGACGATCTCCGGAGGTGCCTCCTTGCCTCAGTCATTCCGTGACCCTCTTGCTAAGACTGAATTAGTATCTTCTGTGCAGAAGTAGATCTCACTTCCCTTGTGTTCATACAAAATGTCACTTCTTACAGTCTTGACACCAGAAAACCTTAGTGAAGCATACCATCATTGCCAGTAGAGAGTGGAGATGTATGTAGTCTCTTGGTCACTTCACTGAACTGTGACCCTTTGGCTTTTTAAGCTATTTCATATTTGAGGAGTATTCAGCTCTCATCTCTACTAGGACCTCACTGTTGCACATGTAGTGCAAGTGACAAATTTTGTCTCAAATATCACCATATATACACCACTTCAGGAAACATATCAAGTGGTGGATCGTCTGTGGCTGAGTAGAAAATCCTGCCCATGGAAAGATGTAGTATCTTCTGTTCACTCCTCTCCCCACTTTGCATCTATGAAAGCAAAGCATCAGATGGATTTCCTCTAAGGGGAGGAAAACCTTTACGTGTACCCCCACTCATTCCTGAGCTCGCTGCTGTTGCCTACCATAGCTCATTTCCTAACCCACCACTCGTTCGCTTTTTTAAAGGCAATGTATATCAGCTGAAAAGATAAGGGTGGCTTGTTACTATATAAAAGGCCTGTCACTGGTGTGATTTATATTATCTTTATAATTGGGATATATTGCACTAGAGAGCTTTGCTTTATAATGAAAAGTTTGTTTGACCTTCACGCATTCCTTGGGCCTCTCTTAGACCCAGCTGTTGACACAAAGCACCAACAGTGTTGCAAAGTCTTAAATGTAAAAATTTCTGTGTAAGCTCAATAGCATCTTTCTTCCTGAGTGCCATTTGTAGTTCACAGTCTGCATACGAACTCTTTTTAAAATCAAAGTATATATACCACTTTGAATTATGCTAAGAACATGGTTTATCATAATAATGGCCTTCAAAAATGTACTATTCTACAGAAATACTGGCCTACTCCAGACATTTCAAAAACATCAGCTTGTAACTGCCGAAGAAACTTCCCAAGAAGGATGTACTCCATCCGTAAAACTGCTGATTTCTGCAAAGAGAGACTTCCTCCCAAATCATATTTTATGTTTGGAGGATGAAAAAACCAACTTCTTTACCACATACTTTTCCAGAGACTTTGTCCCTTCCCACATCCAGAACAAGATGATACAAAATGACCACTTTTCAAACAACTCTAACTCTAGAATTCTTTCAGAGATGACTAATGTCAATGTAAGGCTTCTGACTAGGACTGTGCAATGGTTTTCAATAATACATACATACAGATCTTATTTAACACTTCCCTAACAAAGAAAAACTTCTCACAGGATGACAAGTACAACTGTAATGAAATCCAAAATTTGGGGAGCTCCTACTGGAAATGCAGGACCTAATTTTAACCTCATTGGGTTCAAACAACCCATAAAAATAGAGGCTACATTTCGCGATGAACGAATTTCTGTATTGTGAATTTTAGTATTGTTTTTTGTCACATTCACTTCATACATCTGGTTTGTTCTTTTATGTCTTTATTCTTCTTTTGCACTCATGCTCATTCCTCATGTAATTCAGAACAGGCATTTCTCCTTTCCTTTATAAAATACACCTGTTCAACAAAACCCCACATAAATCCCTACGACAGCGTAATAAAAAGTTACCTTAGTATTAATATTTTGTTGGGCTCTTGATTACAGTACCAACACAGTGCCACGGATTTTGATGTGACAACCTGAAGTTCTCTACCTGTCTCTTAAGAAGCAAAGACCAAACAAATAAATAAAACCCACAACTCTTCCCTCCCCCATGAACAATAAAGGTTTACTCTCTAATTGCTATGTTACAAAAAATCCTCAACAACTCAAATCCTCTCAAAGTGCAACATAATTTTAAAAGTATAATGCTGAACCACAAATATTGTTTCTATAGTCAGGGTAGACGCACACAGACAAGTAACTGAAAGGCATCCTAACGTATGAATGTGCGAGATAAGGCTTTACCATTGTAATTACATCTTTATCTTATCCTGTGGTAACCTGTAGTTATATCTTACCCTTCTTTCATTTATCCTCATAAAACCTTTGTAAAGTCTGAGGGTACTGTTACTCTCCTTTCACATCTATTTTCTGGTGAAGGATGCTAACCTGATGGCAGGCCTAGAGCGCTGGCGACAGTAACGCCCCAGCACCTCAGTCCCTGGAAGGATGTGGGTCTAAAACATGCAGCAGGTGACACTGGATGCTGATGGCTGCAGGAAACAGAAAGGTATTTCCAAAGGATCTCTACACAATAAGACTATTAAAAAAAAAAAAGAAAGAAAAAAAGTGAAGAGGAGGGCTCCTGAAAGCCCAGCATGCCTATCATTTCTCCATTAAAACAAAAAAGTCTATCCTGATGATTGTATTTCCCCCCCAAAAGCAGTTAGTAGAACTGAAAGAAGGAAACCAGAAGGCACTGACGCACTGGGACTGCAGGTGATGAGCCGTTGCCATCAAACCCGCTCTCTTAGACTACACGTATTAGGTACTATACTACAGTTTAAGACAAACG